ATGCAGAGCCGCCCCTGCTGGCACAATTGCCCACCAACCTTGGGTTGCAGGCAGTCCACCCCACTGGCCCACACACTGCCGGGGGAAGGCAGCACTGTCACTCCCAGCACTGTGCCAGGGTGCCAGTGGGGGTAATGCTGGGAGCGAGATGGGGGAGAGGCACCTTCCCATGGCACAGGGGCCTCTGCTTGCACAGCCGGGCACCGGCCAAAATCTCTGGCCTGGGGGATGGTCTGCACTAACTTTCCTCCTTGGGGACCTGATGCTTCATTTTGGGGGGGAGGGAAGGCAGCACTGTCACTCCCAGCACTGTGCCAGGGTGCCAGTGGGGGTAATGCTGGGAGCGAGATGGGGGAGAGGCACCTTCCCATGGCACAGGGGCCTCTGCTTGCACAGCCGGGCACCGGCCAAAATCTCTGGCCTGGGGGATGGTCTGCACTAACTTTCCTCCTTGGGGACCTGATGCTTCATTTTGGGGGGGAGGCGCACAAGAGGGTCCTTCCTGCTCCTCCAGCAGCACTGCGGGACAGTGGGGCAGGGGGCCCTGTGGCACCCTGCGGCACCGGGACCTCAGCTCCATCGCCGCAAGGCAAGGGGCTGTAGTGAAGGAGGTGGCTGGGCGTGGGGACATCAGTGCTGTCGAAGACCATCCTGATCCTCCAGTGTTTGGGGCAAACATGTCACTGAGCTGGCGGTGGATGCCCGGGGGGCTGCCTGGCCCAGGGGGTTTGTGATGTGGCCCTGCACATGCTGTGCGGGGAGGGCCCTGAGAGACGGGCAACCCCCGGGTGAGATGCTGCCGTCACCCCACGGGGACATCTGGGTCATGCTGGGGGCAGGAGCTGAGCCCAGGTTGGGGAGGGGGAAGCACTGCGGGAGCTGCCATGGGGCCGAGGCCACCCAGCCCGGGGGGCAAGCAGTGAAACCAGGGTGTGGAGAGGGCAAGGTGGTCCCTGTGGGTCCCTTCTCTCATGTCGGGGCTCCAGCAGAGACTTCAGAGACACCCAAAGGGTTTGATAATTCAAACACTTTATTTAGGCAACAGAAATCCTGACTCCTCATTAACAGGCATGTTGATGTCTTTTAAATCATTTTTGTATTTTCACTCTCTTTTAGCAAACAAAATTTAGTTTAACAAATGTATGTCAATTAAAATAAATTTTCCTGTTGAAGTAGGATGCAGCTCAAGCACTCCGTTGCACATCTGGTGCAAGGGGCCAAGCCCCCTGCACTGGGGTGGCAGCGGGGAACGGTCAGTTCTTCAGCATCTGGAGGTGCTCCAGATACTTTTGCACCCAGCGCGCCTGAGGGTCCACGCATATCTGCCTCTTTGCCTTGGTGACCAGGCTGCCGGGAGAAAACCAGCGTTGGGGCTTGGCCAGAGCAGCGGGGTGCCTGCGCTGGGTCTCACTGGCAGCGCCTCGGGTGTTCGTGGCCGTACCACCTTCCCCCTCCCTGCCACCCTTGTTCACGCTTGGGGTGCTGCCCTGGCTGTCGCACCCTGACCCCCGACAGTGTTGGGTACTTACATCACCGCCGGCTGGGTGCATGCGCTGCTGGTCATGTAGGCAGAGGTGATGTATCTGCGCGGGATGGGGAGGCTCATGTAGCTGAAGCAGCAGGCGGTGGGGATGGTGTCTGTGGGGGCAGAGACATAACCCCAGTGAGACCCCATGCTGTGGCAGAGGCTCTGCCTGGGGCTCCCAGGGGATTCACCATCACCTGTGCTGCATCCCCTGGAGACACCCCCTGGAAGCATCCATCCCCGAGGCTGAGTCCCAGCACGGGTAATGACCACCCACTCCCAGACTTCCCCATGGACACGAGGATCCCATCAGTGGGGATGGGGCTCTCCTGGAGAGGGACAGCAAACCTGGTTTCTGGGAGGATGCAGCAATGCTGGTGTCATTGTGATGGGTCTCAGCTGGGGAGCAGATGGCCACAAGGAGCAGAGCGGCCAGGGTGGCTGTGGGGACCTTCATGGTGCTGCAGGGTCCGAGGGAACCACAAGTAGGGCTGGAGCTGGGGTGGCTGCAGGGCTCTCCTCTGCACGATGCTCGGCCCCTGCTGCCGCTGCCTTCCTTTTATCCTCCAGCTGCTGGGTGGGCACAGGGTTTCAAAGACAGAAAATGAGTGCATCACATCGGGGAAATTATGTCAGGATCGCCCAGTTTTGCTGAGCTGGAGAATGCAAGGAAACCGCAGAAGGGGAAGCGCCGGCCATGGGGCTGCGACTTTCAGATTCAAGAGAGCACAAGTCTTATGAGGAGCGGCTGAGGGAACTGCGGTTGTTTAGTCTGGAGAAGAGGAGGCCGAAGGGAGACCTTATCGCTCTCTGAAAGGAGGTTGTAGTGAGGTGGGGGTCGGTCTCTTCTCCCAAGTAACAAGCGATAGGACGAGAGGAAACGGCCTCAAGTTGCAACGTTCAGGGAAGGCTTAGATTGGATATTAGGAAAAAAATTCTTCACTGAAAGGGTTGTCAAGCATTGGAATGGGCTGCCCAGGGAGGTGGTTGAGTCACTGTCCCTGGAGGTATTTAAAAGACATGTAGACGTGGCACTTAGGGACGTGGTTCAGTGGTGGACTTGATGGTTAATGGTTGGACTCGATGATCTAAAAGGTCTTTTCCAACCTAAATGATTCTACGATTCTATTCTAAGACCTTCATGGTGCTGCGGGGTCTGAGGGAACTACGCGTGGGCCTGGAGCTGGGGTAGCTGCAGGGCTCTCCTCTGCACGATGCTCGGCTCCTGCTGTTGCTGCCCTCCTTTTATGCCCCCCAGGGTTTCAAGGAAAGAAAATGAGTGCATCGTACCGGGGAAATTATGTCAGGATCACCCAGTTTTGCTGAGCTGGAGAAGGCAAGGAAACCACAGAAGGGGAAGTGCCGGAGACAGGGCTGCACTTTCAGATTCCATTTGGGTGCCCGGCAGGGACTGGCCAGAGCCCAAACCCCTGTGACACCAAGAGCCAGTCTGGGGCATGAAGCTCCATAACCACAGCCCTGAGGAAGATCAGGGCAAGGCCAGAAAAAGATAAAAAAAGGAGGAAGTAGCAAGTTTTGCAGCTTTCTTTCTGAGTGTGCACTGGTGGGGGCGTTTGGGAATTACCCTCTGGGGTTGCAATGCTTCCCCTTTTCAGTCATGCTACAATCTCCTTGAGGTTTCATCTGCAAGGCTGCAATGAGCTGATCTCAGTGGGAGCCAGCAGCATCCTCTCCTCCCTCCAGCTACTACTCTTAATGCCTTATCTCCTCCCTGACACTGATGTATTTACTTTTTTTGGGCTAAGCCAGTAGGGAGAGCCTATATTTGATGAAGTTATCCTGCTTGGGAAGAAGCGGGCAAGCAGTGACTGCAACAACTTGACTGTCAAGAGGCTGCAGACCTCAGCCAAAACTACAATCCTTAGACAGAGAGGTGTAAATCCTCTGTTCACCCTGGGGACGGGGAGGGTGGCAGGCCAGGCTGCAGGCTGATACCACCGCTCCAGCCCTGGAGCAGGGCAACAGAGTCCAGTCATAGAATCATAGAATCATAGAATGGTTTGGGTTGGAAGGGACCTTCAAGATCATCTAGGCCAACCCCCCTGCCATGTTCAGGGTCATGTTCCACTAGATCAGGTTGCTCAAAGCCCCATCCAACCTGGCCTTGAACACTTCCAGGGAGGCAGCATCCACAACTTCTCTGGGCAACCCGTTCCTGTGTCTCACCACACTGTAGGAATTAAAAGAAGTAAAGAATTACTTCCAAATATTTACCCTAAATCTACTCTCTTTCAGTTTAAACTCATCCTATCGCTACACTCCCTGATCAAGAATCCCTCCCCATCTTTCCTGCAGGCCCCCTTTAAGTACTGGAAGGCTGCTGTACGGTGTCCCTGGAGCCTTCTCTTCTCTAGGCCTAAACATCCCCAACTCTCTCAGCCTGTCCTCATAGGGAGGTGCTCCAGCCCCCTGATCATCTTTGTGGCCCTCCTCTGGACCCACTTGAGCAGGTCCATGTCTTTCTTCTGCTGGGGGCCCCAGAGCTGAACACAGTAGTCCAGGTGGGGTCTCACGAGAGTGAAGTAGAGGGGGAGAATCACCTCCCTGGCCACGCTTCTTTTGAGGCAGCCCGGGATACGATTGCAACATCAATTGCAATTCAGTTTGTAGTTGAAAACTCTGAAAAGCAATTGTATCTGCACAATTCCATCACCCGTTTAGGTTTTTGAGGTATGCAGCATCCATCAATTTAAGTTCATAAAGTTTTTATTACCCCCTTTGCTCCTAGCCCAAGCCTCAATTACATGATTTATACTTTTATCAGATTTTAATATAATTATCAGGTCTTTTAATTGCTTCTTCCCTCTCTTTGTTTCTGAGGGTTATAAGATCCATGAATAATAATGCAAGTTCTACTTTCCCAGTTCTCTTTGTTCCTACTCCTGTCCTTAAACTTAACCCCAGCTGTAGCCTTAAATACAAACTAAACATATCCATTATCCCTCCTCACTGATCTTTAGTTTTGCAGATATGCATAATCCACCAGTGAAATGAAATTACCAATGTTTAATTTCCCAAAGTATAATATATACCATAAGAAAGTCCTAACTTGTATTATGGCAATCCGGGACCTATTTGAAAAGATACTCCATTAGTATATTTTACAGTCAACACTCCACTCTGTGCTGTTGTGGTCTGAGTAAGTTCAATTCTGCTAACTTTCTGCCTACTTCTCTATTTTTAAAAACATGTATTTAACAGAACCTTAAACATAATCTCGGAACCACCATAAAGACCAAAAAATGAAAATAACTATTAGTATCTGCAGACCCTAATTTTATTCTTGGTTTTGTAAGTCTGCAGTATCCCAACAATATATCCAAATCATAAACTCGTATTTTCCTAAATGCTTAACTAGATAACAGCACAAGCCGAAGCCTGAGCTCGGTGACCTGTAACTGTTCCAAAATTGATTTAATTACTTTCATATAATATACCCTTGTCTCTGCTCAGAACATCCAACAGCATACTGGGCAACAAATTATGCCCTACAACTCCTGTTTAACTTAACACTAATTGTAAACTACCACTTACCGTCTCCTTGAACACTCCCTTTCTTATCTGTCCTGGTAAAAAGTACATGTACACTTGTCTTTTGGTTCTAATTTAAATAAATTTAGGACATTTTTATGTAGGAGAGGCAAATAAATTTGAAACTACATTATCTTTTTTGTTTGTTTGTTTGTTTGTTTGTAGGCTGCTTTTGAGGTCGTGCTTCCTTTTGGTTAAGATAGAAGTTGCCCTTTGACTGACCTTTTATCTTCATTGAGATAATGTAGTAAACAGATCCTTTGTGCTTATCTAAATTGGACAAGTGTGTCCAATAAAAAGCAATAATAATTGGCTCTTAATAAAAGCAATAATAATTGGCTCTTGGCTATAATATATATGTATAGTTATAGTCCCATTCAGAAAGATGCAGTACAAAACTCAATGAAAGTTTTGAGAATGACAAGCAATTATTAATCCTAAATTTCTTGATTAAGATTATCAGGCACCTTATTATATCTGTGCTATAACTATGCTTTTCCTTATTTAGAAGAAGATTAATCTAGATCCCAGCACTATTTAGTGCTGCAGTAAATTAACCACATCATAGCAGATATCTTGAACAGGTGGTCAATCAAAGACTAACTTTTCCTTCCCTATGGATTTGGAAGAGAAGCAATAGTATAATGCTTTTCTAAAGAATGTAGCAGCAAACAAGAAAGATAAGCTCAGGCACTATCTAATTCAAAAGTTCCCCCAGTTACAGATTTCTGTGCAGTTCTGCTCTCATCTATGAAGTCTAGCATTTTCTACTTTTGGGATTTTGGGGTGGGTTTTTTTGTGGTGAACCTTGACATGTTTTGGGAAGAAACAAAGTACTCGCTGACATTCTTGGCTGTTCGGCTTAGTGCTCTTGACTACAGCTCTAGATGACTTCTGGCTGCTGTGGTAAATCCAACTTCCCTTTTTATTGAATTCCCAACACATGTTTTTATAGGCTCTTTCTTTCTTCATAAGTGTGGAGGGGATAGTAAAGATTTTGTAGATGGAATCTTGACTTGCTTCAATGAGACAGAGTTTAGGTACTGAATAAGCTCAAAATTTGAAATGAGAGGTGGTTTCTCAAGCACTTAGAATGCCAGAAACCATCTTTGTTTTATAATCCTGATACCAGCGTGGACTTTACTGTTGTGAGACTATTCGCATTTTTAATATTAAAAATAGGTAATTTTTAAATAGAATTTGGGCTGTAAATTATTAGTGTAAAATAAACGATGAATGTAAAATAAACAAACAAATTCCTAACAGGTATCTCACCTGCCAGGGAAATGCAGCTCCTCTCTGAGATGAAGCCCATCAGTGCAACTCATGGTTGGGTCTAGTTCAATAAAAAATGCAAGAGCAGTTTAATGAAACAGAACATGAAATAAGCAGAAGGATTCTGAAAAATGCCAAGTGCCATGTCCTTGAATATCATGTATTTAAGTGCTGTATTTTCCTCTCATAAAATAATTAATTGTAACTCTGTTCCTCCTTGTCCTGGTTTCAGCTGGGATAGGGTTAAATTTCTTGCTAGTGCTGAATGATCCTTTCTGAAATTCAGCAGTGAAGATAGGAACAAACATGTCAGATGTGCTCTTTTACATGAGTTTTCTGTCAGAGTAACTGTGTCCTTTTTTGTCAGGAATTTAGTTAAGGAGTCCTTAAAAGTATCGTTGCAGTTTAACTTGATCCCTGTTTCTCCCACAAAAATGTAGTACAGCAATCCTGATGGCTTCTAGACTGCTGATTGTCACTGTGAGATGTGACAATAGGAGGTCTTCAGTATTGAGCAGGTGTACGTGTGTGTTCATGTTTGGCTGTGCTGCCACCTTGAATCATTTCTGCCTCCTGCTCCTCTGCCTCTCTTGCTTCTTCTTTCTCTTCCCATCTAACTTTGGCCATGTC